CCGCCGACCGCCCATCCCGCCTCCCCGGCTCCTTGGGCGCGCTCCAGCCCGGCCGCCCGCCGCCCGAGCCTCTCTGCTGTCGGCTCCCTGACCCCGACCCCGCCGGCCGCCTCCTGGGGAGCTTAACGTTCGTTTTAGAGTTGCCGTCTCGCCGCCTCTGCTGGATCTCGGAACTGCGTAATTCTCTCTTGTAAATGAATGACATTTGTAAAGGGCATTAGAATCTGATGATGAGGTCATTACCCATTGATTATACGCCGGCAGGGGGCTCTTTTCTCTGCTTTACACACGGACACCCCTGGTGGTTAATTCCCTCTTGAGAAATAACTGCCCAGGAGCGCTTGTGAATATGAACTGGACCCACCCCAAGAGGAAAACAGTACTTGCACAATTCCATTTAGTGAAAGTTACAACCAATATGAACCAGGCGCTAAGCATTTCCCTTTTTCTAGGCCAGTGAACCTTGAGAACACATTTCTCTTCCAAAAAATCAGGACCTGATTTTTTTTTTCCAATGTAGCAAGGATTAAATGTCACATTTTGATCCAATTTCATTTCTGAAGTGAAATAATCACTAAATAACTAGTTTGGCGGAATAAATTAATTTTTAAATCTATTTTTTATTTTCTAATTATACTTTTTAAACACAGATTTGAGGAAATTAACATTTATGTGGACATTTGGTTTCTAGCCTAATGTGGCATAAAAATAAGTAACATAATGAGTGTTAAAAAAAATCAGGTTCATGATGCTTCTCACATCATCATCATTGTACTTAGATGTCACAACAGTATTATGTGCGATTGTGTCAGATCCAGCCTTCTCCATCTCGGAGTGTTGGCAGGTAGGAGGGTTGTTGGCAAGAGGAGGGGTGTTAACCTCAGGATCCTGGATCTATTCCAAGACTGGTAATTACATTCTGCCAGCCAAAATTCATCCCATAATTTTAATTGGATAAATCCTTTCTGGCCTAAGCTACTGCTATGCCTGTCAAACTGTTGCCACATTTCACCCCAGAGGTGTCTGTGTTTTAGTAGCAAGAATCAGTCCCTTTGAGGTTGGCTTATCAGTTTAAATCCTCAACGTGCTTTGGAATCCTATGGAATTAAATATATATTTAGGTATTTTTTCCTACTGAATCTGCATAATGGCATAAAATAGATACATAACCATGTTAATGCCTAAAAACCAATTCCCATCTAATGCTAGCAGATCATTTTGAGAGCTTTCTAACCAGATCAATGTTCCTACCTTTCTCTTTTTTTCCTTTTAAGAGCTTTTTGTTGCCGATAACTTTAGCTTCCATTTCCCGAAAGGTCCTGCAGTGACCAGTTTCCTTTCATAGAGAGCAAAGGAACTGAAACCCCTTGTAGTTCTCCTTCCCAAACAAGCCTATGTTGAGATTACTTGTGATGGGGAGAGTCAGAGTACTAAGAGTAGGTGTAGCTTTATCTATATCTAGAAAACTGTGACAACTAGGAGCTTTGTGGTTTCTATCTGTAGCTACTGTCAGAATAACTAAAGCTTCCTCCTTGCATCGCCTAAGCCTCTCCATGAGAATGTCTTCCCTCCTTAGGGCTGCTGGGATATAAAGATAATGTTTCTGAAAGCATCAACACCCTGGATTTACTCAGTAAACCTCAGTTCCTCTCTCCAATACTCAAAACCAGAGTGCCAGTGTTCTTTATGAAGGGAAAGGGAACAGCAGTCCATGCCGGCGGACTATAAGCATGTCATTGTGGAAAAAGACAAGGAGATAAATATCAGCATTGTCTGATGGGAATTTTAGAAATAAGGTTGAAATTATTATTTTGTTCTCTTCAAGAGAGGAAATGCACTACTGGGGTTAGTTTAGTTCTAGCACATGTAACCCTGCCCATTTCATGACTGCCAAGAGTCTTATGGCACTTTACAGGGCATGGACAGTAAGCTTCTTCTTTTTATTTAACTTAGCATGCTTGGAGGGACCTTCTATACTTTTGGGGTGAATGTGTTATTCTGACTCCTCATTTCTCCTGCAAGTTTACATTCAGAGCATTAGTTCTTTGCACACATGCTTCCTGTTTAGAAACAAGCACTGGAAGAGAAATCAGCTCAAAGGCAGGTGTCAGTTCTGTCACTGGACAATTGCTGTTTCCTGACACTACCATTGATTCCTTGTGAGCCAAAGAGGACACACATCTGTCTTCTTCATTTTTATTTTTCAAGCAGGAATAACTTAGTTTTCATAGGTCTTAGCTCACCTAGTCCAGTCAAGCTGAGTCAGCTAAAAGGGACAGAATGTTTCAGTGTCACTTCCCAGATAGATATGAACCTACACCTTAAGTGCTGCTTAGCAGAGCCAGAACTGGCAAGGGAGGCCCTTGGGGACAAAATTTAAGTGGGTGCCCCAAAACTGGCAATAAAGCATTGTTAAAAGCCAAAGTTAATGCAGAATAAGAACCTCATGGTGAGCAAGATATTTAAACAGGACCCTAGCCTGTACTTGCTTGACTCAGTCTTACTCGCCTCACTCTGATGCCTCCCCTTCATGCCAGGCTTTTTCTGGTTGCAGGGTTGAAACGAAACTGTTCTATTCTGCACTGTGCATCCTTTCAGCCATGGACCTCCAAATAGGCAACAATAGCAGAAATATCAAGGGCAGAAATTTCCAGGCCAGTGGGTACATTTAGTTTATTTGCTGTTCCCTAGGCTTCCATACATAGGAGATTGGCCAATTTATTTCAAAGAAGTTAAACCCATATTAGAGCAGCAAAGGAATCAATTGTGCTAATACATTTGTATTACTGTATATATTTCAGAATATATACCTACTTACTGTATATATTTCAGAATAAGGTTATAATGCCCTTTATTGTGCTGTAGGGTTTTGAAATGTTTTCAAAACATTTTATAATAAATACTATACATCTGTTTTCTATTGATCTAATTTAGTATTTACCTCTATTCAGGGTAAGAAATAAAGAATTTCCTATAGAGATAAAGAAATCTAATTCTTATTGCTATTTATTTCTTTGAAGTTTTCACTTTCACTATATTTTTACACTATATCAGATTTAATTCTGACTTCTTCCATTCTTATAGGACATAAAATGATTTTGTTTTTCCATTCTGGTAAGTGAAGATTTTAAAAAGTGATTTGTGTTGCTATTCTTGGCCAAAAAGTGCTTTCAGTTTTTCTGAATTTTGTGATATTATGAAATGTGTTCTATTAGCCATTTTCTAAAGTAGCAATTAGATTTCCCTGGTGGGGGTGAGGGTTATGCTATTTATTTGCTTTAAATGAAGAAAAGGAGCTTGATGTCCTAAGAAGTTAACAGAAATGCCTCTACCACTTTAAGTATGAGATGTGACCTCTTGACATCTTTGTCTTAATAAAGGAAGAGGTAAAAAACATTAAAACAAAACAAAATTTCCAGAACTAACAATTTTTCACTAGAATATTTGGAAAATATTCTTCCCCTAAATAAGACTCTCCCTCTTTAGTAGGCTGATCTGTTTATCATTAAAGATTAGTAGGCTCCAAATGGAAGCAGAATTTAAATCCAAATCACTTATGCATTCTCTTCAGTCATAGCCAGATTACCTCATGTAAGGAGCCAAAAGTTAAACTTCTATGATCCATCCATCCCTTAATTCATTCCTTGCCTTTTTCTATCTTCCATGTGGCCGTTCAATGAATTTTTTATTATGGAAACTAGGCACTGGATAGCACAAAGTATCTCCTAGCGCCTCTCTTTCCAAGTTGTTTTTTTCATAGTTATTAGTTATATTGCAGCTGAAAAGTCCTAAAATAGACTTTGTGTTTTTGCTAAACATTTATATTAATTTATGGGACTACATTAAGATTATTCTAAAACTATTATGATTCACAAAATGTATCTTATATCTAGAAAAATGTTGGAAATGTTTAGAAACACTTCCCCCTATATAACATGAATTTGTGTTGTATTAGGAGATTTTATCAATAAATAGTTACTTAAAGCTTCCAACTCAGGGGTGATGATTGCCAGCCTTCATTAAGAAGGATGATACAAAGTCACAGCCCAAAGTGACCAGTCATGCTCAATGCCCTTCTAGGAACAAGTGTGTTGTTATTGTTCTTTCATGTCCTGTGTATCTGCAAGTGAATGTCAACTCTTACTGATACCAAGAAGGTAACTTCTGGTGTGCACAGGGATCTGATACCCTGAACATTAGCGTTCATAAGCTGTCTACATGTTCTCATTCAGGTGTGTGTTCAGAGGCACCTCTTACTGGAAAGAGCCCTTCCAGACAGAACCAGTTCTCCTGGCTATGGGCAGGTCTCCAAGCCCTGTTTCTGAAGGATATTCAATCTGAATGTTCCAAGGAAGGCTTTCCTGTTGGTTTGTTTTGATTTAAGGTATAGCTTAATATTTGAAAACATTTCAATTTATTAAAATACAGCTCTTCGGCCCTCCCTGGTGGCGCAGCGGGTTAAAGCACAGCACAAAGAAGCTTAAGCCACTTCCGCATGAGTTCGATCCCCACCTGCCCTGGAGGAGATCCACATGGCGAGGCAGATCTCTTCTGACACGCCTGCTGCTCCCCTCAGCAGTGTACTTCGTCGATCTGCCTGTTCTGTACCCTGCTCTGTCTCTGGTGAATCCTCTCACCCTCCGCATCTCTGGCCTGTACCAGTTCTGTATGAAAAAAAAAAAAAAATAGAGCTCTTCATCAAATCACAGAAAATATTTAATTTCTTAGGAAGGGGCAGTAAAGA